AGAAAACAAACTTATGGTTACCAGGGGGTAAAGAGGATGGGCAGGGATAAATTAGGAGTTCAGGATTTGCAGATACTAACTACTATATATGAAATAGATAAACAACAAGGTCCCACTGTATAGCACAGGGAGCTATATCCAGTAAGTTGTAATAGCCTATAATGAAAACATATAAAAAGGAATATGTATATATCTCCATCACTACCCTGTACACCAGAAATCAACACAATATTGTAAGCCAACTATACTTTAAAAAAAATATTTTTAAAAAGCCAACAACCAGGGTCGATACTGTGAAGACACAGAAGCCAAGGAGAGGAGGTGCCAAAAGCTGTAAGGGAGAGTTGGCACTGGAGAATGGGTCAGGAGCTAGGGAACGCGACAGGAGCTAGAGAATGGCCCAAGGTAACTGGAGATAGGAATGCAGGTTGCTACACCTAATGTAACCCAACCACTTTTGCCCGACACCTTTTCCATTTTCACCTGGCTCTCTTTTCTTGGGCTGGGTGCACAAGGAGTATAAGCCGACTTTTAACAGGACTGCCAAGTACCTTCTGCTTTTTTTTCCTTCTGACCTTTGAATATTGTTCCCTAAGGTCCTATTTCTTGGACGGCTCTTTCAATCTACACACTCAGCCTGAATGATCTCATCCAGTCTCCTTTTTAAACTACCTAGTTCTCTTGCAAGTTTTAGTCTGTCTGCTGGGTATTTATGTCTACATGTCCTGCAGTACTGGAAACCCAGATACCTAAATCGAGCTTATCTTTACTTCTTAAACTGTCCCCTCTTTCAGCTGCAGCATCACCGTGCATTTAATCTCTCATCCTAGAAAGCATGGTAGCATTCTTAAATTCTTCCTTTGCTGACATCCAGTAAGACACCAAGATTTTTTAAATAATGAATAATTCGTTATTATTATTATGACTGTCTTTTTACGTAACCCTTGAGATAGCACTCTACTAAGCCCTGTATATACATTACCTCATCTAATCCTCATGATAGCTTTTAATAATAGCCTTATGGGTGCTATTATTATCTCTGTTTTAGAGATGGAGTGTCTGAGGTGTGGCATATTTGAATTATTCTCTCATGCTTTAAATAGCTCACTCCAGTTACACAGAATTGAATCCAGGCATTTTAATTCCAGATCCTGCTCTCTCCATCACTAGATTCTGGTTTTACTTTGCTCCACTGTGTTCCTCTCAGAAGAGTCTCACAAATTCAGCCCCTCCTTCAGCTACAGTTACACAAGTTAATGTACCTGGACCCCAAAGCAGATTTGCACTGGAATCCTGGGGGCCCTGCCTACTGTGTGAATTTGAACAAGTTGCCCTCTCCGCCTTTAATTCCTCATTGGTAAGGAGGTATGTACAAGCTACATCACAGGTTGATTATAGGGTTTAAAATTAAATAATACAAAGAAAGAAAAGACTATAGGTAACCCATGTAAAGCTCAATACACTTAATACCCATAGGATGCTTAGGTAATCTAAGGAAAGATTAATCTCCAATATCAGCCCTCAAATGTTTTCACTTTGTCTCAAAAGATTTCCATCTGGTGTCCTTGACATAAGACCTGCTAAATTCATGCTCTCTATTGTTGTCAGAATTATTTTTTAAAAAGCTAAATCTGATCATGTCACTTCCCTGCCAAAAAACCTCTGATACGCGTTTCCTCTATGGGATTGCCTTTTATGCCATACTGAAGCAGTGACTTAAAATGAAATCAACTTAAAATGGAATGACATGTTACCTTTTTCAATATTTCCTGCTACTCTCCCAAAAGTAGCACAGCCTTCACTAACACCAAACTTCCATGGACATGCCAGTCTCTTTGATGCTTTTTGGCCTCTTTCTGTTCCCTGTTTCAGTACTTGCCCTTTATCATCTAGAAAACTCCTACTCACCCTTCAAAACCCCTCAAGTTACCTTCCCCTATGTCAAAAATCAAACACCCCTCTGTGCCATTAAAAGTACCTTATTCATAGTATTTTTCAGCTGAATTTGCAGTTACCAAATTAGAATTGCTTTCCCCAGGGAAAAGACCATTTCTCAATTAAAATCAATCAAATTTGGTGTATAGTATCTGGTACATTGCAGACCCTTACTATATATCACTGAGTGAATAAATGATCACTAGAAGTGTATAATCCTAATAGTTTACAAGATCTTTCCACATACTTTCGTTTTTATCACATAATAGAAGCAAAAGATTTTGTTTGGATACAAGAGGCCATATTATTATTGTTATTAACTGAGACTTACTAAGCCTTGCCAATGTTTTCCCCAATTGTGGAACTTTAAAACCAGGTGAAAATAACTACCAGTAATTTAAAAAATAAAGGCAAATGTGAGCACATGGCTCGGGTTTTAAGAACAAGGTAATTATACAGCTCATGATAATTACCTGTGGGCTTGGTAAATATGTTGCAGCTTGATAATTGTGCTCCTCTTCAGGCTCAGATTAGAATGTTCCTTTAGTTTATCACTGAAGCTGCTATTTAAAGAGTCAGGCTAAAACCTGGAATAAGAGGAACTCTTTGGAATTACAGCAGCATATCCAAGTCTTTGCAGTTTCCATCCAATTCTTTTATGTGGCAACAATAATAACCAATTCAGTTAAATAATTTAAAATCAATAGATACTATTTTCCCCCTGAATTCCTTGAAAACAGTTGAGCCAAAGTAATGAAGAGAGTTAGTTGATGTGAAACCTGGAGCAGTTCATCAAAATGTCAGTTAGCACTTATTAGTGGCACATGAAATCAATTTAGTGTGTTACTCCAGCAATTTGAAAAAAAATGGAAGAGAATAAAAAAATACTGGAGTGTGCAGCATCAGGTAAGGGCATATTGTTCTGTGAAATCTTTGTTTCAATTGCACGGATGTGTGTTCACTGGCTTGGGATGTAAAATATACTTCCTACTGTGGTATATATTTCCCACTGTGGTATTTGTATATTTCCCACTGGTCTGGGTCAAAATTTTAAAGCCACCACCCTACGGGACACAGGAGTGGGATCAAGTCCAAGTAGCTACTTAATCAAATTGGTTTAATAACTTGATAACATTGAAATCATGTCCCACTTGGGGCCCCAAGCCCCAATTACATAATTATAATCCCAAAAGCATAATCAACGCCTGATTCATTCACCAGAATTGGCTTCAAATAACATTTAATTATTTCAAAAAAATCAAACCCATCTCTAAGAGATGAACATTCACTGCCACAAAAACTACACAGAAGAATTTGCCATCGCTTCTGAAGTCGATAGCAAAAAAGCAGTTTGAAAAACATTTTCAGCAAAGGCAACATCACTAAAATTAGACTCAGATCACTATTTTCAGTCACTAACTTGTAGTGGAGAGATTACAGGTGAGACTTTTTGTATCATTAAGAGCATTGGGCTTTACAATTAAGCATCCTGACTCCATTTCTTCAAGTGTAAAGTGAGGAAAATAAAACCTACCTAGAGGAATTATTGCAAAGAGTAAATGAAATATATGTAAAGTACTTAGAAATACATGAGGGCACAGGGTAAATACTGAATACATGGTATATTTTTAAATATTTTGTGGTTTTACTTTTTGGTTACATTTAGTTAAAATATTTACCCCTAACGGAGTAATATTAATGTTAAAGTTTTTTTTTCTTTTTTGTGAGTGTATTTGCATGCTACACACTTAAGATGCATGTTTCTCTTTGCTGATAGTCACTTGGGCTGGTGCCAGTCAAAGGCTGCCCAACTGTTTGACCTGATAACAACACTGACTTAGTTCTACAATGTAACTCTCCAAGTTTCAAGTAAAATAATGTTCCTTGTGGCGTCTTCTCCAGCCCTCTTGCCACAGCTCCTCTTCCATTTTAGTCTTTGTTTCGGCATCCCTTTACATGTTGCCTATGCAACCATCCAGGGTTTACATTTTAGGAAACGTACGAAAGAAACGGAGGGACGGGTCAAGGGCACGGCCTTTCTCGTATACACAGGTTTTTCCAAATACATAAAATTGCCTCCAGAATATCTCTTTGTACTCCCTAGGAAACCACAAATTTTCTTTTTCATTGCAAACTCAAACTTCTCTGCCAAGCGTGCCTATCCTGAGCACAGCAGAAGGGTAACCGTCCGGAGCCTGCAGGGCACCTCCCCGGGTTCGGGGAGCCTGAATTTGTGTCTGCAGCCCCCGAGCCGCCCCAGCGCGGGAGTTTCGAGGGGAGCCCGGGGACAGCTGCGGGGTCACGTGGGGAGGCCGCGCGGGGACCGGCGCC